ATAGACGGCTCCACATCTATTTTTAAGCCTTAAAAATCTGAGAGATGCTGTCTATCCTTGCTGTTGGATTTTTCCTGGAAGATTGTTCAGTAGCAGCCTCCTCACATTGCACATGCAGAGCTTTGATCCACCTTGCACCATAGCAGGTCAAGCATCACAGTACACAGAATGAAGCTCACATTTTGATATACCTATCTGAGAGATGAGATAAAATAGAAATACTTGACACAAGCCAGATGTGTTCATAGCAGACAAAGCTTTAGAGAAAGAGTACAGTCATATTTGTATCATCTTAAGGTATGCTCAGAAAGATATTCTACCCCTCCTAGAAAGCAGCAACATGCAAGCCACCACAGCCAAATCCTCTATTTCTCTATATTGCGAAGAAGATCCCTGGTTTCCAAGCAAGTCAGAGTGAACATTTTTGGAAGCCAATGTTTTCTGGTCAATCAAGTATCGTGCAGAGCCAGACCAGACTCTTCAAGGCTTTGCACAGCTGTGACTATGTACAACCCCTTAACAGAGACATCTCACCAGCAGCACATCTCAGCTGGTTCTCTGAGGCATTTCTGTTTGATCAGCACTATTTGGCTTTTAGCTGCAGACAGCTTAAGGCAGATGCCGTTCATTGAAGAGATTGTTTCCCTCTGACACTAACAGTACTTCATCACTTAATGCAACAAGACACTCCAAGTGTCCTACTGGCATATCAGAAACCAGGGGCTGACAGCTAACCCCATGGCATCTTCCTCCATCAGTCTCCCATACATCAAGAGACAAGGACAGGGCAGATGCCTGCAAATTCTGCAGGGTCTTCCGAGGGGAACAGCGTCGTCCTCAAAGCCCCACATGCAGGAAGGCAGCCAGCACCTCTTGGTGCCACGCCACCAGCGCCCCCAACACTGCTGTCTTTACCCAGAGGAACAGACTTCAGAAACATCAGAGCCTTCTCTTTGAGCCTCCAGCATGCATTTCTGCCTTATACCTTGACTATGGCAGTAAAGAGTACCCTTAGAGCAGCTCCTGTACCCCATAATGCTTGCTCAACTTAAAATGTGGCTTCCAGCAAACCTGAATTTAGGTGTGCATGCAGGAGGGGTAAGCTAAGCCTTGACAACAAGGAGTTCAACAGAAGTGTGAGACTGCAACCAACAGACACTACTGGGAGCCTCCCAGCCCATGAGGAAAGGTGGGCTGGCTGCACCTCAAAGAAGGCCACTAACTGCCCCTGTCCTTTTAAAGCTCTTCAGGCTCACCAGTGTAACACAGGCCCTTTAGTTCAAAGATCTGTATCTGCTTTGATTTCTTATTATTTGAACACTCAGTTGAGCAAGTTCAATCTCAAATGAAAGCTCAACTGTGTTCGCAAGCAGCACACATCCACCCATTCTTAAAATGAAAACACAAGAACTAGCTGTTTCATTAAGGAGAGGAAATATCAACATAATATATTCCCTCTCAGAAAGGTCACATCTGTATCTCAGAAAAGACACTATCTGAAAATCATAAGCACAAGAAAAGCCTATTCCAGTAAAGAGGCCATAAAATTACACCACTGTTTCACACGTAGATAAAAAAGCACTGAAACAGATGAAAGGTGACTGCAGGCAAAAGCAGTCAGCCCAGCTGAGTACCTTCCTTCCCAAAACCCAGGTCCAGCAGTCACTGATGGAAGCACTGCTCACAGAGCAAAGCAGGTTTCCTTTGTTTTCAGGAACTCTGGAAGGTTGTGCTTTTATACATTGTCAGCAGTTTTCTAGCACACCACCTCCTCTGTGTCACTGCTAATGACATAACAGAGGAAAATCATTGGCTGAGGGAATTATTTTTCTCCCTATAAGGATGGAAAGAATCAGGAAGAGTGTGCTTTCTCCCGAATATATTTGGCTCTGCAGAAAACACATGTGATACAAATGTTGCTATGGAAACCATTCTATTAAATAATATTAAATTAAATTTACATATTTAAAGTGTACAAAAACAGTCCAGGTACAAAATTCAATCTTGAAATTACAGTGGAATTGTCCACTACCCACTAGAATTGGCAGTTTTCTTTGGTTTTGAGAAAGCTGATTCTCTGCACCCTTTTCTTTCCAAATGGAGCATCTGCATCCCAGTTACTCAGAAAAGTCATTTCTTGAGATAATTTGTAGATACAAGCTCAGTTCCTAGTTCCCTTGGAGATGGAATTACCATAGCATTGCAGAGAAAAACCTAGGAGCTGAATTCAGTCTGAAAAGACAATGGACTGATTACAGCTGTGCCACCATAATATTGGAATGCACTTTAATAACTCCCACTTGCATCCCACCACACACAGAGTATTGAAATCCTTTTCAAATAAGCAGGAGTCCTACACGGGGCTGGAGTAGGCTGGTCCTTCCTAATGTTTTCAGTGTGGGAAAGTTCTTTAAAAGTTAGTATTTTAAGGTCTAAAGTGTTTTTTTCCTTCCCACCTCCAGCTCCTGGGTATCCTACCGCCCTCCCCAACAGAGCTGCTATATAGAAAGCTGTTTGCATAGTTCCTTCACCTCTGAAGTAGCCAAGCTCACACAGCCCTTGAGTGAGGCTGGATTCAAGCTCTTGCTAAAACCAGGCGGCAGTCCCAGGTGCACAGCCATGCACATACACACCTCAGCAAGGAGGAAAATACACAAAGGGAGAAGGACAGCGTTCAGCTAGGGCTGCATATGGAGAAGTGGGTGCTGACAGTTGTAATGTTGCTGCAAGCAACACAAGCTCGTCCTGCATTTAAAGAACTGGGGTTAATCACATTACCCGTTTCTACTTGGGTAATGTAAATCAGGGCAATGCACTTTTAAGCAGCTTATAGGAAACAAAAGTTACAGGAAGAAATCTGCAGCCATGTTTCAACCATCCATCCTTAAGCTGTGGGCCAATACTCTAAACTGAGAACTGCAAGGATAGTAAAGTATTAATGATGATGAAACTGCTATTTCCAAACAAAGAGAACAGCCAGATCTGAACAGGTCACCTCTCCTGCATAGCAAAGGCCTCTTCTTCAGATGCAAAGCAGTGACAGCCAGATCACTGCAGCTACTAGCTTCCTCATAACGTTCTCCACAGCGCTGGAAAGCTATTGGGACAGCACACCCAGTGCAAAGAGCTGCTTAGGGCAACAAACTCAGGGCTCCACAGTTTAACAGCTCTATGGCCATGGGAACTCTTTGGGACTCTGCTTGGATTCCCTCACAAAAGCACTTTCTGCCACCCGTTTCACACATTCCAGCCATTGATAATGACACAAACCTTTAGAACTGGAAGGAATGAGATCAAATAAAGAAACCGTCTTTCCAAGGAAAACATTTAAGATTTGTTTCGTTTCCATGGACTCAGCGTTGTTCTCCATGTCTCGCTCTATTTTTGCATTCACCTGTCAAATGCATGTCTATTGAGCAGGCACTAGACCCTTTGCCACCATCACCCTCAAAGTGTTCTGGAAAGCCTTAGTAAAGGAAAGGCACAGGTATTACCAAACTTACACCTTTCTCAGAGTGAGATGTGCCTTATTTACATGACCACTGGATTTCACTGCTACAGTATGGAAAAGTGTCAAAGTTTAACGTTACTTTTCATTTACATTGGAGTAAACTAAATACTAACATACATCTAGTAATGAAAGGATAGTTAAAATACACTTATCTGCCAAATTTACTACAAGTTGCCTCATAATGATATTATCTCCATCTGTCACAGAATCGTGTGGTTCTTAAAGAAAAACCATGCCTGCAAGTCCACGCACAAGAGAAACAGCTTGCTGGAACACTTTAAAACGCTGTCCAGTTTCCAAACAATTCAGGAAGATGCAAGTTACCAAAGCTGCAGAGAAGCACTGAGCATGGATACAGAAAGAGAATGAAACTATAACTGTAATGGGCCAGCAAGAGCTTTCAGATGACTGTGCACACTCTTCTTCTCCCCCATAATAAATCTTGATGCAAAACACACTATGAACAACTGAGAACTGCCAACCCATCAGGTCTCAGTAAACACAAGAAATTAATTCCCTTCCTGTCCTGAGAGGCTGATACATCAATTTAAACATGTTATATACACAAAGCCTCCCTCCTTTAGCCGTGCTGGCTCGCCAAGGGAGGCCGAAGGTGCAGAACACGCCGGAGCACCTCTGGTAGCTCTCTCAAGGGGTGCAGGCACCATCAGCAGACCGTGAACAGCCGTGGGGCAGATGCCAAACCAGGTACTGCAGGGAACTGCCCGGCCACTACTGCCCACTGAGTACCTGCAATGAACCCAGGCACACGGCACGCGAGTGAAAGAACAACCTTACAGGAAGTTTAAACATAAATAACTAGCTAAAGGGGGCTTCCTGGATTTTCATTTTGAGCAACTCCAATGAACTCAAAAGCCCCGAGGGTACCACGAGGTTTTCATCTGTCCCACACAAGACCTTAAAGCCGAGATTTGCAGCAGCCCCCTCCCAGGACCCCTGCAGCCACCGAAAGCTCTCAGCTCTCATCGCTGCCTAGGGCTCCCCGCACCGGCAGACCCTACCCCGGGACACAGGCACCCCCAGCCCCCGTCCTCCTCCCGGCCACCCGGTGCCTCCCCAGCGGTCCGAGCCCTCCGCGTTCTCCTCGCAAGCAGCCGTTCGGCTCCGGCCCCAAGTCGGCGGCAGCTGTCGGGGTACGAAGGGCAGAGCCGGGCGGTGGAAGCAGACGAGGCTTCGGGCGGGCAGCGAGCCCATCTCCCAGCGTGAGAGAAGGGAATAAAGATACAAAGATACAGGTATACCACACACACATATGTATAATGCGTATATATATATATATACACACACACACATTTGGGTGCCTTTATTCTTCTTCCCCTCCCCCCCAAATTTTGTCCCACGTCTCCCCCGCGGAGACACTGAGCCTCCAGTCTGCAAAAACAAAAAGGACAAAGGAGTGGAAGGGGACAAACATAAAACAAGAGGCGAGCCAGAGGCCGGTGCGAGCCCGGGAGGTGCCAGCACTCACCCCCAGCCGCCTGCTCCGGATGCGCACGTAGCCCTGCTTCACGATGTCGTTGAAATTGGCGGCCATCCTGCGCCGGGAAAGTTGGCAGCGGCCGGCGCCGCTCACACCCGCACCGCGCTCCGCTGCGCTCCCCTCCGCACCACGGAGCACCACGGAGCGCCCCGGGCCGCCGCGGGCCGGGCCCTGGGAAGGGCCATGGGAAGGGCCGTGGGAAGGACCGCGGCAGAGCCCGCCCTCTCCCGCCCCGCCTCCGGGAGAGCTGCCGGTGCTTGTCCCGGCAGCCAGCGAGGGGCCGGGCCCTGCGAACGCCCTCACTCTCGAGGCAGGTTGTCTCGATGCTTTATGCCATCCCGCCCTGTACCGAGCGCATCGCTTCCCCAGCTGCAGGTGGGTCATCCGGCAATAACCACATCTGCGCCGTGCTGCTGAGGCGGTGCGGCTCAGAGCTCTGGTTTTCCCTGTGAAAGGGGGCTTCCCAGAAAGTCTTTGGGATGCCTGAAAGAACGCTAAGTGGCCCAGCTCCAGAACCTCCTTCTACAGAGCGGTAACCCGAGCTGCTGTCCTGCGGGGCACTTCATGTCGTGGAAATGTCACACGAGCCTATGCTGCATTTTCTAGGCAATGTGAGGTTGCAGCAAGGAAAGACTTCACCTGACACTGGGTGCCTCTCAGTTCTCCTTTTCCAAGAATGTGCAACTATTGCCAAGCACACCAGCGAGTCCAGGAAAGAGGGGCCCCAGTAACTCTGCTAGCTCTGCATGGGTTACCTGCTTGTGGCATGCTATAAATACTATGTCATGGAAAAAGGGACCGTTCATCTCTTCATGACACCTTTTAATAGCATTACAAATATAGGCAGTCTGAGGTCAGCCAGAGAGATGACTTTGACTTTGAGAATTATCCTGCCATTGAAATTACAACCAGGGTAGCAAGGAGGAAGGCAGGGCAGGGAATCACCAAAGAGCATAAAAGGGGGGGCACCTTGCTGCTGTGCTTAGCACAGGGTGACAGGGAGGCAATGCCCATTTTTATTTAGTTGCTCCCTAACTACAGAACTCACCTGCAATAAAACTGGCCCCTTTCTGCTTTAAATTTGTAGCTCCTTCATTTTAGGAGCAGCCAGAAATGATGGTGGTTGCTCTGCTGTGGTGACAGCGTGGTGCTTTCAGTTCTTGCTTGAAGAGTTCTTGCTTGATTATGCTCTGCAAGGCTTTGCAAAATATCAATTGATGGAGTGGATTACGGAGATGGAGTGCAAGACTCTCTAGCTGAAGGGCTAATTCACTTAGGAGGAAGGAGACAAGTCTGCACTCCTTGCCACAGAGTCTCATTTGTTATTTTATACTTCCTTCTTCTTTTCACGGAGCTATTTTGCAGAATGCGTAAAACATAACAGCTTCAGCTAGAAACAGCAAAAATGTCCACACCCATGCACCCAAATGCACCAGAAAGGAGAATAATATTCTGAGACAAGTCCATCCACTACAGCAATATGACCCTAAATCAACCCAGAAGTTGAATATTACAAAGTATGGGTTCCTGCCTGCAAAATTGCCAAGTAATGTATTTTTGTTAAATATATCACACTGACCCAAGAACGCTGTTAATACCAGTTCCATAGTACCATTCATTAGATTCCACTGCTGGTTGAAAGCTAGAGAAGTTTAGACACCCAGCCTGCTTCATCTGGTACAGAAACACACATTCAGCACGGAAACGTGTTTCACACTCTCAAGCACTATAAAAGTATTAATGTTGGAACCATCACTTACGTCCTGAACTCAGAAAAGAAAAAAAAAAAAGCTTGCTTATTTTAGTTTCAAAGACATTTGTGGCAGGAAAGAAATTACACACTTTAGATGTCTTTTCAACAAGTTTAGACATTGCTTCTAATCCCTTCCAGTACCTGTAAACACATCCTGCTGATACCATTAGCCACTAGCATAATCTTGCAGGTAAACACATTCCTAAAAGCTTTGTTAAGTAAAGGTGGATTTAAGCCTGTGCTTATTCTTTGATGAATTAGGATATTAGTGTCCACTTACGTTTTCCCTTTGAACAACATAAATCCCTTACACATGCTATGGTTCAAAGAGAAAATGCATTTTAATCCCCATGTGTGCAATATGTTCCAAGAATGTGCCAGAAAACTCATTGTTCAGGTTTGCAACCCAATACTATCACTAGAAAAAAACCTTGTTTACTAGGTTTTCAATACAGATGCAAATGTGTGCTGTCATTGTTTTGACAGGAGTCCTTCTTTCATTTCCCTAGGGGTCTATTGACCATTTGCACTCCCTAGAAGGAAATGCTGCACATGTTTATCTATATTCAAAACTGTGCAAAACCTTTATAATAAGCTTTCATTGAAATTCAAATGCTTTTCCTTTTAATGACAATGTTACTGCAATTATTTCCTAGGAAGATAAGAGTTAAGGGTCACTTTGAAGTACTACCCTGCTGTTGATAATTTAAATGGATTATTGTTATATTCTAATCTCATAATAACTATCATTTTATTGCCCTACAATGAGCTCATTTGCTTTTAGGGCTCTGCAAACAGAAATCACTGTTGTGCGTTTTCACTGACAATGAAGGTATCCGGTTGTTTTCAAAATGCCATACTGACATTTTAAAGAGAAGTTCTATTCACCTATTACATTTGCAGCATGTTGTCATCCCCTGTGCCCATGACATTAGTTCATCACAGTCTAGCAGTGGAAATTGTCAAACAGCTCTCAGACATAGCAAGTTAAAGAATAAGAAAGCTGTGGAGGCCATTTTAAGGGAGCAATATTCTCTGTGGAAGTTATTTCCTCGAACAGATGGAGCTGGCACTACTCAAGCATTTCTTGACAAAAAGAGTTTCTCATTTGATCACCCTGAAATGATTTTCTGGAAACGCAGAACATGTATCAATACTGTTTCATGAAAAGCTCCCATAACATTTTGTCTCCGTAAGGTCAAGATGCCAACGTTTTTCCACTACTGGTTGGATTTTTCAGAGTAGTTTGGAAACGATAACGTCACAGTGAAGTGTTCTGACCTTATCAAGTACTTTGAGGTTACTGGAATGCGATATTTCAAACACAGTATCTCCATGAAAAGCTTTTTGGCATTCCTATGTCTAGTTTTGTTTTGGCGGGAGATAATTTTTTTGACATTTCGTTCTGATTTTGCAATGAACAGTCTGAATTCGGACTAGTTCTGGCTGCAAGGAAATGCGACAGGTAATGAGCAAACACCAGAGGTGTCATACTTTACAAAAAGCATGCTATTCCTACGCTATTGCAAGCTTTGACATCCCTTATTCTCCTCTTTGTGAAGCCAGACTCATAGTGCTGCCCTGGCTCATTGGGCCAGCTGTATTTAAGTTGGGAAAAAGAAGAAGAAAAAAAAAGAAGTTTATTCTGAATTTACTTCTTTCCTAATGCATCGGAAGAAAATACACTTTTTTTCAAAGCATGACACTCTGATTTTTGCTCATGCATGGTTTTGTTTTATAACTGTGGCTTGTTGTACTGCTGGTGCTAATGCAAAAGCATCCACTGGATCCACAGTACAAAACCGCTCAGAAAGCCTGTTCCTTTAGCATTCATGTATCGTTGTGCAAACTGATTTTGAGTGAATGAATTCTGCAGAAATAAAGATTTCTCAGATACTTTGCTGGTATATCTTCCCCTCTGTCTTTGTTTCTAATATGCCAGCAAGAATCTATGCAGTGACCCCAGGCTTCAGGCAAATGAGAAGTGTGTTGGGACACAGAATTTAGGAAACCTTTGGGTTTAGGAAAATTTGGGGTAGGCTTTTGAGGTAACTTACCTGGCAAAGTGAGGGCAGGACCCTTGGCTATAACATCCTCACTTGCTGCAGGGACTTTGGAATACATTAGGTATAAAATTGCTTTTGAGAAATGCACACATAACTTATTGGCGGAATTATTATGCAGATGTCAGTCAGTGCCAAAACATGAAAATTCATGAGACTGAACAGTTAGCTTAAAAAAAAACCCTATCAGAACAGAATGTAAGCATATAACTACTTGCACAGTAAACAGGAAAGTGCCTGCCAGCATAAGCCACTGATAATCAATATTTAATGAGAATAAATTATCTATTAACCAGGCTAACATGTCATTTTGCACAGTAATATTGCAGTATCAGGCACTGAAATTACCTTGCCTCTGCATGATTCATATAATTCTGCTTCATGTAGACCAAGGTGGTGAAAGGCAGAGAAGTTAGTGGAGGGTGGGGAGTAGCAAATGAAATGCATCCTTTTACTGGAAACTCTGGTTCTGATTGTAAGATTTTGTCCCGAACAAAATTACTGTCAACACAGTGAATGCTAAGGTAGAAATAAATATATACTGCCTGAATCTGTAAGCAAAGTGAATCCAGGATAACATTAGCAATTGAAAAAACCCAACATTCATTTTGCTTGCTTTGTAGTTCTGTGACAGTTACAAGCATTTAAGCAGCTTTCTCATCCTCACTCTCCTAAAGGCCTTCCTTCATCTGCAGAATACGTCTGGAGGGATTAAGCTGGAGTGAATGGTGGGTCATGAGGTCGCCATCCATCCTCCCTTTTCCTATAGGTAATTTATCAGAGTCTGCAGTGTATCAGAGTGCAGCTCTGGGACTGTCAGCTCCCTCTGATCTTTGGCTATGGCAGAGCTGGAGCGATATAGCCTGTGCAATTGCAGTTTCCCTGACTGCCTGTTTGATATTTCCTGTCTGAGCCAGCACAAGAACATTAATCCCACAGTAGGTCCCAAAATATGTGACTGTAGTCTTTATCAAGCCATGAGTAGGCAATGCAGGAGTGCCAGAGACTCAGACCTCGGAAGCAGCTGAATTCGGATTACACCATGTGCACTTGAAAGACTCATTCACATTTGTCTGTGTTTGGGCTTAACTGTGCTGCTCGTGTAGGTGGATTTCACTGCATGACAAGTGGTTATCGTTGGGGCTGGCCCAGCTAAACTCCACAGCACAATGAATAATTCCTTCAAGAGATCCTTCCAAAAATCAGTGTCTCCTGGGATAAGGCAGCATTTTCCAAGACAGTGAAGACAAGCCTGCAAATGGGTGTCTCAAAACTCAAATTGCCAGCATGGAACTGTGAAATTTAGCATACAAAGGTATAGAAATCATATCATAAACAGACATTTTGCCTACTAT